TGGCAACGTAAAATGGCGCCTTGTCGGCTTCACCTGAATGGAGGTGGTTGCGGGTCCAGTTTATTTATACGTCCGTGCGTACTATATATCCAGCCTTAGAGTGCTGCCATATCCATTTCACGGCGTTTATAAACTTGGGCCATGGATGAGATAATAATGGATTGGTGTCTTCGCAGTTTTTGGCGACATTGAGCTCAGGCCTGCCATCTAGCGGGAGAATTATCGTAAGTTAGGAGCAAGCCGAGTGAACGCCGCTGATTAGCATTGTGACACACGGGAGTGTGGTGTAGTAGCAGGCTTGAAGTGCAATTTTTCAAAATGTTATGTCTTAATATGCCAGCAAAAGCGAAGAAATTAATAAATTTATGTGCAGGGTGAGTAATAATATAAGCGGTTCCCTGTTATTTTCCCTTTAAATCGTGAAACAGGGAGTTATTGGAGACTTCGCAAGCACGTGTCGTTTTCGCTATTTTTCACATGAGTCTTTACTTGGCCTAAATCAAACAAATTGTTCGATCAAAGAACAAAACTAACTTAAGTACTAATCTATAAGTCTAATGAAAAAAGTTAAACGGAATTGCTAACGTCATTGCCGCTCAATATGTCATTCAAGGCGCTCTATGAAAAGGACCCAACCAGTGCTGTGTAGTCGATGAAATTTCAGTGACTGGCTCCAACTCCGATTCCGGTATCCAAATATCGACTCCGACTCCTCCGGGCAGAACTGTCGATTCACACAGACTCCGACTCTGCACTCTGCAGCCCTGGTAAGTCTGTGGAGTCGATGACTTCTCGGTGACGTTCGACTCATACTCCGACTACAGCTTTTAAAAATCAACCGACTCCGAGTCGGAACTGAACCGCTGGCTCTGACTACAACTCGCAGGGCGCAGGCCTGGCCCAAGATAGCCGCCTAAAACAACTTTGATGTGTGATCTTCGTACATTGTTAATGCTATTTTAAACAAGGAGTGGAAAAGGGAGACGAAGCCTTCGCCCTTCACAAGCAAGGATCTCCTGTTGCGGATCAATCAACTGCTGGAACAGAAAGGCATAAACACCACGCATCTCATTTCATCGTTTTCCTAACGACTCTGCACCTATGTAAGTACTGATCAATGCAGTGCGAGCATCGATGTGACATTTGTGTACCAAGTTTGAGTGTTATCCGCCCAGCCGTTCTTGAGATATGGAAGCGGCACCCCGTACGTGCGCACGTGCAGTAGCACCCCCATGGTGGCACATGGAAATGCATTTGCCACTGGGTGCCTAACTATTGACGAAGTTTTACTGTAATAGGCCCAGTCATTGCGGAGTTACTTTATGTGGAACAATTTCGACACCCCTAAGTTGGCACGTGGCACGTGCCGTAACATTAACTAAGATGAAGAAAATCGGGCGAAATTCGGAGAAGAAGGAATAAGCCTATCAAATATTGTCAAATGACATATTGTCAAACTGCTGTACCATTGTGAGTAAATGACCATATAAAAGGTCGTACAAGCCGATGAGACTGGCGTTTCAATACACACCGTCTTACGCATTTTATTTTTGCTATTACCTAAAGGCTGCTTGACGTTCTTGGCTTTCAAGCATTTAAGACATTTTTTGTCGTCTCAGGTCCAGTAAGATTACCTCCAACTCGTGGAAATATGCACTTCAAGCCAACTAACACACCACAACCACGTGTGTCATAATGGTGAGAGATGGCGTTCACTCGGCTTGCTCCTAACTTACGATAATTCTCTCGCTAGATGGCAGGCCTGATCCCAATGTCGCGGATCCCAATGTTAATTTCCACGAGACACCAATCCAGTGTTATATCATCCATGCTTGGGCCTAAGGCCATATATATATATATATATATATATATATATATATATATATATATATATATATATATATATATATATATATTGGGCCCATGAGCGCGTAGCCTTTACCCAAACAGCAGATTCGTTCCGTGAAATTTAACATTCCGAGTCGATGAGAAGCAGCCCCCGTTCACGAGCTTCAGAATTCCTTTACCGTGACGTCATCACGGCGCAAGAATTTTCCTTCACCCATAGCAATGCATGCAAATCATGGTGTGTTTCAGGCAGGCTGACGAGAAATCCATGCCCTACATGCGTTCAAAAGACGTACCACTAAACCAATAGATTCGTCTCATTACGATAAATGGGGTTGAAATCGAAACATTCGGCCTATATTTAACTAAAATGGGCCAATCAAATGGTCCCTGGAACTCCTAATGAAGGATTTCCTCTGCGTTAAAAAATTTGTTTCTTTTGTTTTTTATCAACGACAGGGGAAATCCTTCACAATTGCTACCAGATTACTACCATATTCCCTCGCATTTCTGTTGCGCATTGCCTCACAAATAAGAGTTCTTTGAGTTCTACGAAGTTTCTGCTAATTGAGTTGTCATAATTGGACTTATTTTGGCGATTGTTAATTATTTCAACACAGCATGGAATAGATAGCGTTCGTAGTTTCCTGAAGAATATGGCTTTTGCTGAGTTATTATCAAGTTATCTGTGATTTGGTGCGCCGTGATCGTAGCATTATGCAAATTATATCAACTTTTAAAATTAAATCAACTTTTGAGGTGAATTTCACAAGAAAAACCAATAGTTGTAGCTTAATAATTGTTTAAACATAATGATGCAAGATGTGTCTCCCAGATTGAACTCATATTTCAATTGAAAACTGAAAATGCAAAACAGAAGATGGGTCTGCGGAGTCACTGAGATCACAAGGTGCTCAGTCTTGATTGTTGGTAGTTGAAGATGTTGAGAGAACTCGTGAATCTGCATACCATGGGTCCTGACTTGCTTGATTGATCAAAGCTATTTTAATTGTCATAATTGTGTGTAAGTGACTGTGCAAAGTGCTGCTGCGCAGTACATAGAAATGTGCAGGTTGCTGGTAGGTGGGTACAACTTGCGAGTTGCGAGTTTGGATGTCACTTTTAAAATTCATTGTTATGCCTTGTAGAGTAAGCTCTGCTGTGGTTTTTGTTCTTTTATAATTATATACCTAATACCAGTGTTAGTTTCAGTTTTATGAACATGCTCAACCAGAATTTGAACACGTTTCATGCATGAATGGCTAAGTTTGGGGCGCTTATTCAACTTTGATTGCTTATGTTTTTCTAAGGCGCATAACATAACACAGCTAGATCAGCTGGTAGGTATATACCTAGTTACCTGTTGACTATTTTTCTGTTTTTGGTGGTGGTGTGTTTGCTATTTGTCTTTTGCAAGGTGGTCAATGAAATAAAATAATGCATTATTTTGGAATGTTTCCTTGGCAGAAGCCAGGAGCCGGATTGATGTGTGCTGGTGAATGAGATGGCTCGGAAGCATTAGCTGATGATATATTTTGCAATGTGCACAACAACCCTTTCATATGCAGATTTTTTTTTAAAAACAGTTTCTCTGTCATTTTCCTGAAATATTGGTGTAGATAAGAGATGTCAGTACCTTCTCAGAAGTACCTACCTTCTGCTGGACAAATATTTCATTGGTTGGACGAAATAGGCAGGTAGCCTTTTGATAATGTAAGGTGAAATTTTATTTCTATTAAACTTAGAAAATAAAGTTGAAATGATTCATATATACATACATTTTCATGACTAAGAAAGTTTTCCACAAGAGTAGGTAATATGAGAAAATATATAAAACCAGTATAACGCCTTTTGGGGCGACTAACGGAGCGAGCGAGAGGGTGGGCCTTGCACGTGCGAAATTGCGAGGGGGTACCTCCAACTGACTTGTGCACGGCACCCTACTAACCGGTCTCTAGCGATGTGCCAAATTTGGGCACAATCGGCCCAGCCGTTCTCGAGATCTGGAAGCGGCACCCTGCACGTGCGCACGTGCAAAATGGGTCCCAACTGACTTGTGCACGGCACCCTACTAACCGGTCCCTAACTGTGTACCAAATTTGAGCGCAATCGGTCGAGCCGTTCTCGAGATCTGGAAACGACCCCTGCACGTGCGCACGTGCAGCAGCACCCCAACTCTGGCACATGGATATGCAGTGCCTAGTGGGTGCCTACCTACATGCCAACTTTCAGCGCAATCGGCCAAGTAGTTACCGAGATATTGCAACAATTACAAAACTGACACCTCTTCGTTTTGCACGTGGCACGTGCATAAGGGGTCACCCACATGCATCGGGAATAGTCCAATACTTGGTAGAAGGAATGAAGCTACCCTACAAAATTTACCGCATGTAAATCGGTCAAGTGGTTGCTGAGATATAAGCCTCGCAAAAGCGTGACCACGGCCGGCCGGCCGGCCGGCCGGCCGGCCGCTCATACTCAGAAATTTCCGTTAATCTAAGGAAAGACTCCGCTCGCTTCGCTCGCTCCGTAATGACACATTCTGAAGGCTCAATAATGACAGAGTGCTGCCTCAAATTATAACTGACTTGCTGGCTTGCAAATATTTCTTTATTTTAATTTTTAAAGGTAATTAACAATACACGGCAGTGAAATACCAAAATAGTGCAGTAAAATAGGATTGGCAATGATCATTATAGAGTTCAGTGGCAATGATCAAACAACACGTGCGCCATTGATGTCTGCAAAAATTGCTACCAGATTGCTACCAAATCCGTGACGTAACCACGGCGCCTTTTTTCCCTAGTGAACCAACCTGAGTAGTAAAGTAATCTTGGATGAGAAGTGCCTTTCATAATCGTTTGCCGTCAAAATACCCTAGTAATAAAAGTTTCGCCAGGTTCTGAAACAACATTGCCAAAATATCGTCAGAGTTATCGTATTTAAAAGTTATCGCAAACAAGTGGGGTCTCAAGGGGTTTGACGTCCATAGTAGTTACTTATGCACAAAAGGTCTTAATCTGCGCCCGTTTTCGTTGCCTGGGAAAGTCGGCATTTCGGTGGGCCCTGGTTTGTGTGCGGCGCGTGTGGTGTGGTGTCGGATCCGGCCACCCCGCTCACACAAAGTGACCCCGCCGACCCGGTGCGGGCAGACATTGCGCCGTACTGCGACCTGTTCTCGGAGCGGCGCTGGCACCAGCTCATCGCAGAGTTCCGCGAGGAAAACTTCCGCATCTACCAGCTGAGCTCCGTGTCGGTGTTCCGCACCGTGCTCCAAGATGGCCTGGCCGCGCTGAAAACACAGTAGGTGGGCCGCGCCCCCCCCCCCTCCCCCCGGGGAGCCGCGCTCCAGATTGGCACCACGGCTCACCGCACCCGGACCACCCAGCCCATACCACCATACCGTCACTATACCGTCACTATACCTCCACTCTAATACCCCTCACCAGTTGTAAAGTGACGCCGTGTGCGTTCAGTCTTCGTCTCAGTGACGCCGCAGTGTCCGTCTCAGTGACGCCGTGACTGTGTTCTCAGCTCAGTGACGCCGTGTGCGCTTAGTCTCAGTGACGCCGTGTGCGCTTAGTCTCAGTGACGCCGCAGTGTCCGTCTCAGTGACGCCGTGTGTGCTCAGTCTCACTGGCGCCGCAGTGTCCGTCTGTCTCAGTGACGCCAGGCCCATGTCACTCCACTTTTGATGCCATCATAAGGGGGCCTCAGGACAATAATGGCGCGGTGCGCCACAATCGCTTCAAAGCTACTTGCCAACAGTTGCAATTTTTTTAAAATATTATTTTGAAATAAAGTTACAAGTAATAAAAATATTGTAATAAAGTTGTTGAATAAATCGATACCATATCTAGAAACTTACTGAAAATGATTTATTCATAGTAAAAATATAAGCTCGATGCGTTTTTACGTTGCTTTCCTGCAACTGCAGAGGATTTTTAAATCGTCTATATCTTCAAAACTGGCCATTTCTTAGCATATTGTTGCTCTTTTTATCGCTAGAAAATTAGCTGGACTTTCCAATGACATCAACGGTTGAGCGATATGTGTAGAGTGTCGCCAACAATGTTCAAATGAAGTTAGTCATTTTTACGTTGTAAAGGAATGGAGTACCCCTTGCGAGCATCAGGGGTGACGTCACTCAGGATCTGTCTCTGATTGGTCGGCGGGGAGTGACTGTACCTTCTATAGATGGCCTTGAGTGACGCCGTGACTGTGTTCTCAGCTCAGTGACGCCGTGTGCGCTCAGTCTCAGTCTCAGTAACGCCGTGTGTGCTCAGTCTCAGTCTCAGTGACGCCATGTGTTCCCAGTCTCAGTCTCAGTGACGCCGTGACTGTGTTCTCAGCTCAGTGACGCCGTGTGCGCTTAGTCTCAGTGACGCCGTGTGCGTTCAGTCTTCGTCTCAGTGACGCCGCAGTGTCCGTCTCAGTGACGCCGTGACTGTGTTCGCAGCTCAGTGACGCCGTGTGCGCTTAGTCTCAGTGACGCCGTGTGCGCTTAGTCTCAGTGACGCCGCAGTGTCCGTCTCAGTGACGCCGTGTGTGCTCAGTCTCAGTCTCAGTGACGCCGTGTGTGCTCAGTCTCACTGGCGCCGCAGTGTCCGTCTGTCTCAGTGACGCCGTATGTGTGCTCAGTCTCAGTATCAGTGACGCCGTGTGCGCTCAGTCTTCGTCTCAGTGACGCCGTATGTGTGCTCAGTCTCAGTCTCAGTGACGCCGTGTGTTCCCAGTCTCAGTCTCAGTGACGCCGTATGTGCGCTCAGTCTCAGTCTCAGTGACGCCGTGTGCGCTCAGTCTCAGTCTCAGTGACGCCGTGACTGTGTTCTCAGTCTCAGTGACGCCGCAGTGTCCGTCTGTCTCAGTGACACTGCTCGCTGGGTTTGCAGCCAGTGCTACCGGCAGGACGGCCAGGGTAACCCGGACTGTCCCGTCTGCCAGCCGCCGCTCAACGAGCTGGCGCGCCCGCTGCCGTTCTCGCACTGCACCCAGAGCCGCCTGCTGTGCGCCCTCTCCGGAAAGCCGATTGACGAGCACAACCCGCCCATGGTTCTGCCAAACGGAAACGTGTATGGACGGCTGGTCAGTACGTTGGGCCTGTGATACTGCAGACTTACAGACTCAATTTTCCTGCAGTGTGGCTGCTTTTCGCTGGATAGGGCTCCGCAGACGTCAACAACAAGGCTCCGCTTTACCTTCAAACAAACCAAGCAGAACGTGAAGTTTTTCTGCATCTGAGAGCTGAGACGTTCTGACCCCGAAACGAGCTATCCAGGCATCCCATTCCCAGCCATCCTCTGTGCCGCATAATGCGGTCCCACGAGCGTACAGCCCTCAGCAGACTGCGTGGTAGGTATTCTTTTTCCGACAAAACTGATAATAATTCAAAGGTCATGTTATCAGTCGGTCGAAACTCATTGCAAATAGATGCGCCATGCTCCACTCCTTTGATAGGGCCTATCAATAAACAAAGCATACGCCAATTGTGTGGCAACAAAATGTAAAAGTTTGTTTTTGGGGCAAGTATAAACTTTTGGGTTTTGTTGCCAAACTGGATGGAAAATGAGTACGACGGTAATGCCAATCTAAGCTGCGGAGTCTCGCGCATCTTGCTGTTACGATTTCCGAGTGACCGATGGCATAGTATCCGCGTCATTCGCGGTTTTGTCGAAGAAAGAATACCTACCACGCAGTCTACAGAGGGCTGTACAGCAGGAGCTTTAGATCCGTGATTTCGTGGTCTAAATTGAGATTGGATTGACCTGCATTAAGTATTAAAAAGTGACGATGATTGTTTATGGTGCAACCCGTAAAGGCAGATATCAATTATTGGTGCCGCCTCAGAATCGTGATTTCGTGCAACTTATTACGTTTGTCTCTTTTTTACCACAGTGTTCTGTGTTAGAGCTCAAACGTCCCAGGTAAATAACAAGTCGCGTCGTCTATACAGACCGATGTTTCAATGTAACGTCAAATGCTAACCCGCGCCCCGTTGGGGTCTGCCAAGCAAACGCCCCGTGGGGGGGGGGCAAAGGCCCCCCCTAAGATCTCGAGAACCACGGAACATAGCGACTAGCAGCAAACGGTGTTGGATAGCCCCAACAAGGAACTACATTGTGACCCAATTTCATTGACCTCGGTTACACCGATGACGTTACAGGTCAGGTCAAATTTCGAATTTTCCCCGTTTACAGGCATTTCAAGAAATGTATTGTAAAATCGAGTAAGATGCATGTCATTGAAAGTCATCGATGGGGAATTGTTCGTCAAACGCATATTTTGCTATTTGAGGTAACTGATACCAGATCAGGTCACAAGGTCAGGTCACTGAGGGTCACAATATAAAAATATCATTTGATGCTTGTTTTGTGGTCTTTTTTACATGGCAAATGCGATTATGTGCGTCAGGCAGCCTTAAGGGCCAGTTAAGGTTATGTTCCGGTGAAGGTCAGGTCAAATTAGGTCAAATTTCAAACTTGATATTCTTGCATAAAATGGGTATTGATTCGATGCAGCTCGTCACGGGGAGTCCAATGGCGATCTTTGTTTTGCGCTACGTGGTCTAGAACTGCTAAAAATTGAGTTTAAAAATTGACGTCAACAATTTTGAAGTTTTTTGTCGTGTAATAATGTTCGCTGATAGTCTAGTTCGTTTCTCAAATATAACACTTCCACTTTTCACGATGTATTGTTCAGTATTTCAAATGTCCGAAATGAGCCAAGACAAGAATTGAAGAATACAAGCGACCGCCCGAGTCTGCGTCCAATAATTGACTGTAGAGTTAACCCGCGCTCCGTAGGGCTATCGGCGGACCCTACCACCCGTGGGGGGGGGGGCGCGTTTCCCCCCCCCCTTCCTAAGATCTCGGAAATTAACCGGCCGATTTTCAAAATTCCCACCAAAAAATGGCCGTAGAGCCGCGATTTTGGCATCATCGTGTTCACCTAGCTCAGGCGCATCGAGTGATTTACTTTTGTTCGGGTGAGGTCAATTTACGGCATTGACCTCGTGACAAGGTCAGGTCAGAGCTCTGAGGTCACGAAGCTGGTCGAGTAAGGTCATGTTGCATATCATTCGATTCGGCAGGTCTTTCTGAGTCCATTTGTGGCTTTCCCGATTCGCTAGTTCAATTTGATCGGGAGTTATTGAAGAAAAGTTTATAACCCTAGTGACGTCATAAATGACATCACGCAAGGGTAACAATGCAAATGTGAAGCATTGGACGTTGCAAGGAGTGCATGAAATCACAATTTTATATGCTTGAGATAGTTTCAGATCATTCCCGGCGCCACAATAGCAATTTCCATATTTCCCCATTGACTTATAAGGGCTTAACGTATAAGTTCCCTTTAGTTAAGGATTTTTTTAAGATGTCATGTTGTTCTCCACTCAATTCTGCGTAGGATGCCGGGTTCCGTGTCTACAATGCTTGAACGTAACGGATGCAGCGGCCGCAAACGTAAATCGAGGTCCCGAATTCCCTATTCCCCAAAACAGGCGGCGGCCGCTTCCTGGGCCTCGTTTCATAAAGCTCTGCCGTAACTTACACCTTTCCGTGATTCACACCCTTTCAAACTACGGAGCGTAAATGAAGCCGTTTCACAAAGCCACAACTGGAATTGTTTACACCTCCGTAACTAAGCACATTTGCGTAGTTACCGTAATTTATCAAGCGTCCTACAAATTACAATTTCATGTCAACACTTATTTTTTTTTTACGAGAAATTATAAAACAATGATGTTGAATTTAAATCGTAAAAATTATTTATGAAAAACAAAATGAATATTGATGACCAATGACCATCCTTTATTAAATCAATATATTGAAAACAGCAGAAAGCCAGCTAAGCAGAAGTGCCTAACTACGAAAGTGGCGCGGCGCGGCGAATAAACAAAATTCCGATAGCGGCCACAAAAAGCGACTGGTACAGAATATTTGCAGTTTCTTTTTCTCATTTTGGCTGTTCTTTCTTCCTCACCGGGCTCAACATTATAAAATATATTAAAAATTAGCTTCGAATCTTCACATTTATTCAAATTCACGCAACATTTTTGTGCGTAGTTTACACCGACCCCCACCGGACACGATTTGGTAGCCGAGGTCTGTGACGTCAGCCGGGCGTGAAGTTTTCCCTTCACCATAGGCTTCACACACAAACCGGCCGAAGTTCATGCCAGGATAGCCCGGCTTGAAAGTGCAAAAATGATTAAATTTTGCCCTCAATAGATTCATTGCTTCATTTTATAACTAAAAACGTCCGTTATTAGGACTCAATGAAGGTAAAAAGTACTCAAAATCGAAGTTCAAGAAGATGCTGTCCGAGCACAATCTGGTAACATCACGTGACCTCTTTTAAGCAGAATGTATATAATTCAAGGATGTTATTACACGATTGCTGCCTAAAACATCATAAATAATACGCTTGTAACATTTATTGCTTCTGTTTAAGTCATAACATTGCAAAACGCAAAGTTTATCATGGAAATCACGTGACCAAAGGTATAGCAGGGGTTGGGACAAGCACTCAAAGGATTTCAAGTTTTTTAATTAAATTATATAAGTTTCATGATGAAATTGAAAGAATGTATTTTTTCCTAATGAAATACAAATTTCCGTATGTAAAATATTTTCCTTATGGGCGAAATTCTCCATATAAGAAATGTCAGTGACGTCACCAGGGCTTTACTGGGCTTTACTCAAAACATCGGACCTACCTGTTTCTTATAGGTATCTTGGTTTACACCACTGATATCAAGAGCTTGATAAAATATTTGGCGTTAATTACGTCGTTTTATGAAACCCAACTGGCATCAATTGGTCCGGAATCGAGCATTTGCCGTAAATGAAGCTCCGTAATTTCGATGGCGTGAATTACTCCGGTCTCCGGCTTTATGAAACCGAATTGGCATCAAATACGCCAAATCTGGAATAATTGACGGAACGCCGTAAGTAATTCCTTTTATGAAACGAGGCCCTGGTCTGCGCAACATGGCGGCACCGTTGGACACCATCTGGCGGCCGATGCGCCTTCCACATTATACTCGTAGAGTTCAGTGTGAGGCCCCCTTAGGATGTCATCCATAAGCGGAATTGAGACTATTGAGGCTCTCAAAGGGTATTGAGGCTCAGTGCAGCTGCACCCACAATAATTCCCCAGTGGGTGCAGACAATGTATTCTGCACCCACAATAATCTGGAACAAAAACCCCCTTTTTCAGCAATACTAATTCCCATGCAGCACGATAAATTCAGGATATTTTGCCCACTATCCAGCTTTCGAAGCATTTTCTGCTGTGGTGGTCTTCAAAACTTACATTTGTGCTTAAATAAAAAAGAAGAATGAAGCACATGTGATTGAACAGTGAACACATACCGAAGACCCACGGTCAAAAAGTTATAGCCCGACATCTACGGAAATGGCTAAGTTAGCCGCTTTTACTTTTTGCGGTACTGTAAAGTGGGGCTATTTGAGACAGTGGGGCTATTTGAGACAGTATTTAAAATCGCTATAAAATGAAGACCGTTTGATTTTTATGTGATATTTTTGCTCAGGAAGGCGTGGAATCGAGCAGTAAAGCGCCTGAGCAAAAATTAGGCATAAATTTCAAACGGTTTTTATTTTATTGTAGACATGGCCGTGATAGACTTAATGTAAAACATTAGTCACATTGTATTGGCAAGCAAGACCAGTTCGAGAGTCAAAGTCCAGTTCAAGTCCCAAATCCAAGCGTAGCCCCCCGCTCCAGACCGAATCCCCCCGTCAATGACAATGACCTTCAGACGACCTTTCGTCCGAGAAGGTTCCAGGAGAAAACCCAATCGGCGGCTGCCCTGGCGTCGCAGCGCCAGCCAATCAGCAGCCGCCATCACTGCCACAGCCGTCGCCGCAGAGCACGGCAAATAGCCCACGGCGCGTGAGCTGTAGCCGCGGGCGCTCGCAGCGGCAGAGTTCCACTTCCGACTCTGACTCAGTCGGTCTCGGAGCGGCAGTCCATTCATTGGCGGCAGTTCATTCATTGCCAACATATAGCCGCCCGAGCAATAGGCGGCGGCACAGGAGAAGGAGCCCTCCTACACTCCT